TTCCATTTGTTTGCCCACTGGTGGTTCTAGGAGTGCCCCACTCTAGGGTCTGCACAGGAAAATGGGAATGTTGAAACACAAGTGACAGGCCTGCGCAGCCATGCCCTCAGCCCTGTGTTCACCTTGGAGTTGGGGCCACACCACCCCAGCGATGGTCAGGCTGGAAGGCTGGCTCTGCTCACGCCACGGTGAGGGGGACTGGGCCAGCAGGAGGGCTTGCAGCTGCAGCAGCTGTTGAGCAGGAGGGAGGGCAGCACTGACGGGGTCCCCTGGGGGTGGAGCACAGGCAGGCCTAGAGACCCCTGCCTCACTGAGGGGTGCCATGTCCCTGGCCAGGCTCATGCCACATTCTGATAGTGCCCCACACCAAGCTGCTCACAGGGAGCCTCAGCTGGTGACACAGCAAGACAGGAGGGCTTTAGTGGCCAGGTCCCCACTGGGTCTGTGTCCCTTCCTCACTGCCCTCAACCTCCCCTTTCCGGGGGGGCTTGCTTCCTGTACTCACCTTGGGCTTCTCATCCCAGCCCTTCTCCCGAGACTCCAGACTATACGACCCCAGCCTGGCCTGGCTTAGGCCTTCCTAGCTAAAGGCTAAGCCAGAAACTGGCCCCTGGTCAGCCAGGGAGGGCCCAGTCCAGGGCCCAAAAGATGGATGCAGAAGTGCCCCCAGCCTTCTGCGTGAGAGGACCGGCTGCCCCCCATGTGCCTAGCCTACACTCTAAGTCAACCCTGCTCTTAGGGCCCCCCGGGCGCCCAGCCCAGCTGCTTTCCTGCTAATGCCTCCTTGGAGCCTTCCCAGCCTGGAGGGCCCTCTAGACACCCCAGATGGCCATTGTGGCCGATTCAAGGATGCACGCCACTGCTGCTCCTGAGCCCCAGTGTCTAGGTTGACAAGCCCTTCATGTCCCAAGGAGGTGAGAGCCCAGTGATCCACACTTATAGTCCAGGGATGCAGTGGGCGTAGAGATAGGGAATGAGGCCTGCCCCAGACCCTGATCCCCAGGGGTGGGGTGGAGGCGGCCGTGGCCAGCAGGTGGCAGCACAGGCTGCATCCTTGGAGCTTAGGAGCTGGAAGATGGGAAGCAGGATTCCTAGGCCCTGGCTGGCTCACCTGTCCGCCTCCATTCCCTGAGCTGGCTGAGCCCCTCAGGGTGCCCAACCATGGTAGGAACTCTGAGCCAGAGGCTGGGCAGGGACAGCAGCAACTGGCAACTGTAGTGGGAGGGGATTGCATCGGGACCAGGGAGACGAAGCTCTAGACAGCCCAACCCCCTTCTGCCCCAGGGTCCCTACCTTGTGGTCCCACCTTGAGACCAAAGGGCTGGACACCCAGAGGCCCCTGAAGAGGAGGCTGGCAGTGAAGGGGGGACCAGTGGGGCTGGGGAGCTCTGCCTGGAGGCAGAGGCTGGGAGGGAAGGAAGCAGGGGGAAGCTAGAGAGTATGTGTTGGGGAGATAGGAGGGAGGCAGGGAGATGCCTGGATCTGATGATGTTGCTGCTTGGAAGACTGGAGGAGGAACCTGGTTGCAGGAATGGGAAAGCTCTAGTTTCTGGGCTCAACCCGTCACCCCCACTATCCCTACCTACCCCCCCCAACCCTGCAGGATGGGGGCCATGAGCCAAGGAATGGGGTGTTTTTTGTAAGGCCTGAGGAACGTGCCAGGCTCCACACCCCAGGCCTGAATGCCCTCAGATGCTCAGAGCTCCTCCCTCACTGCCCTCAGTGTTCCTGGGAGACAGGAGGGAAGGGGCCCATGGACTAGGTGGGGCAGGCAGAACACAGTGGCCACCTGCTGGCTGCTGTCCCATCTCACAGAAGGCGAGGCCCACAGCAGGCCCAGGACTCACTTCTGGGGCCTGGCTGCTGCCCCCTGGGAAAGGAGAGGCACCACTCACGCACAGGCAGGCCAAAACCCTAGTTTATTTCAGCATCAGCAGTTTCTTAGCCATCAAAAAAATAAACTCTACCAAGGGTGACGAAGTCTCTACAGCAGGGCTAAGGGCTCGCCAGGCGGCGAGCATCAGGGTGCATGGTGGGCACTGCCCAGCAATAAGTTAGGAAGCAGCAGGCTGGTGTTGGGTGTGGGCCGGGCTTCACTTCTGGGCAGGCATGAGGTCGTCGATGGCCTGGCCCTGTTCCAGCCGCTGCTCCATCTCGATGAGCAGCTTCACTCCGTCCACCACCATCTGCACCAGCTCCACCTCCGAGAAGCCCAGGCGGTCCGCGTTGGAGACGTCGAAGACCCCGCCCACCGCAGCTGTGTCCACACCGCCTGGGGAGACAGCAGGTCAGGGGGAGGGAACAACTGCCCAAGGGCCAGCAGGAAGCCCACAGCACCTGCCCTGCTCACCTGTGCCTCGCTTCTGAAGTCGAAGCCGCTTAAGCACCTCCGAGAATTTCTCGTGCTTGCCCAGGTGGGGCAGCTTGATATGCACACCTGCCCGCAGCCCTGTGCCCAGGTTGGATGGGCAGGTGAGGATGTAGCCCAGGTGAGGGTTCCACATGAACTCATAGTTCTTAGACTTGAAAAGAGTTTCAATCTGCAGACAGAAGAGGGTGTGAGTGGGAAGGCCTGCCTGAGACGACCACAGGCCCCAAGTCCCGGAAATCCCCCAGGGGGACCGATGGGGTACCCACGTCCCTGCCTGAGCCCTGGGATCTGGACCTGCCCCATCCCTGGCACCTGAGTGAGGCCGGTGCAGAAGCGGGTGAACACTTCCTTCATGTTGCCCCCCTTCTGCATGGAGATGACCCGAAGGTGGTCCTCCTCGTTGACCCACACCAGGAAGGTTTTATTGTCATTGTGCCTGTGGGAGGGCTGATCTCAGGGCATATCCAGAAAAAAGCCCCAGGCCGTCCAGACCACAGGAACTTCCCAAGGCCCCAAGGTGCTGCTCTCAGCCGTGCCCAGGAGTAGCGGCTGTTGCCAAGACTCCACCGCCAACACGGGGCAGGCGGGGAACGGAAAGCCTCAGAGAGCAGGAGAACCCCCGCTACCATCATGTGCTGTGGTCTGAGATGGAGCGGGGCCAGGGACCGCCAGGACAACCCTGCCCACCACCACCCCCAGTGGGGGTAGGAGCCCTGCCCCTGGAGAAGCTTCTGCGTCACCAGCTCCTGGTAGAGTCCCAGCAGCGGAAGAGAGAAAGAAGAGAAAACAAGGAGCTCCAGCTCCCGAGGGGCGTGGGGGAAAGGCGCCAGCGAGCCTCGCCCCCCCCTCCTGGCATGGAGGGAGGAGTCCCCACCGGCCCAGTCCCTTAACGCACCTGCGGCCAAGGTCACCTATGCGGAGGGCGGGGCGGCAACGAACCCAGACTCGGAGCGCGGCCCCTCCCTCCTCCTCGCTGCGAGCGAGCGGGGCGAGAGGGAAAGGGGAGGCGGCAAGGAGGGAGGACGCCGCAGGAGGGCGCAAAGGGATACGCACCAGATGCCGCGGGCGTCCGGCCAGTCGCGGGCCATGCCCGAGGCCAGGAGCAGAGGAGACACGGGCTTGTCAAAGAGGAAGTGGTCGTCGATGAGCTGCTGCTGCTCCGCCTCCGTCATGCTCTTGAGCGCGTAGTATCGGCCAGCCAGGTCGCCGTCCAGGCTGGACAGGGCTGCGGGGGGCGCGCTCAGGACGCTCGGATCCCGCGCCCGCCCCGCAACCCTCATCGCGGACCCGCCCGCACCAGGGGACGTCAGAGGCCCCCACCCGCCCGGGTTTGCGCGCGTCCACTCCTCACGAGCCGGGCGACGGTCCGAGGCTGTGACCCCGCGCCAGAACGCTCCCTCCCCGGGCCCCAGGCCGCTGTGGACGCGGGGCTGGGCCGCCGGCACCTCGGTCCCTCGGGGAAACTGAACCCGGGCGCGCGCAGATAAAAGCGTGGCGGCGGCGACCGCTCCCGGGCGGCTGATAAACAAGCGGGCGGGGACCGCGCCGGGACGGGGACGCGGTTGCCGCCGACCCTCGGCCCGCCCGGCCCCTACCTTCCACCGCGAGCTTCTCGATGGCGCGGCGCTCCCCGCGGCTGCAGTGCGGGGGGAGGCAGAAGCCGCGGATGCTGCGGCCCGTGCGCACCCGGGAGCTCAGCACGTAGTTGGGGTCCAGGTCGTCGCCGCCCTGAGGGCCAGACGGGAGTGAGCGCCGGGAGACCCCGGAAACGCGGCTCGCCCCGCCCGAGCGCCCGCTGGCCGCTCCGCACCTGCAGGTTGTCGGGGTTGAGGTCAGTCTTGTGCTCATCGCTGGGCTTGTAGCCGCCATGCCGGTCCTCGATGATGGGGTCGAACAGATCCTTGAACACTTCGTAGGATTCCTCGTCGCCCGCCACGCAGCCCACGGTCATGATGTATGGGTGGCCTGGGGGAGGGGGCGCGGGACGGGGACAGTGACGTCACGGCCGGGCCCTAGCGCGCTGCTGAGGACCCTGCGGCCGCGCGCGGGGAGGGGGCGCCGGGACCCCGGCCCCGAGGGGGCGCGTACCCGGGTTGTCCACGCCCGTCTGGATGACGTCGTCCAGCGTGAAGCCGCTCGGCGTGCTCTTGGCGCGCAGCTCCGCGTACAGCTCGGGGGTCAGCACCTTGGCCATGTGGTTGTTGTGGCTGCTCAGGTCGGGGAATTCGTCCTCGGCCGGGAAGCGCAGCTTCAGCGTGTTGTGGCTGTTGGAGAACGGCATGGCGGCTGCGGGCTGCGGGGAGACGCGGGGTCAGCGGGGACGGGCGCGCAGGGCTTCCCGGGCTCCCGTGAACCACTCAGGGCCCCGCCGCCGGCTCCCCCGGCGCCCCCAGGACGCGGCCAAGGTTAGCGGGGTCCACAGCGCGCGCGGGGAGCGCCACCGTTGCCGGGGACCCCCGGCCGATCGGGCGCGCGCTCCGAGCGCGTGACGCCTCAGCGCCCCTCGCCCCGGCACGGACGCCCCGGCCCCCGGCCCTCCGGCCCACTCACCGGGCGTCCGTGCGGGGGCGGGGGCGGGGTCGCTCCGTCGGCCAGCAGCTCCGGGCGCGGCGCAGGCGAACAGCGGCCGCTACGCTCTCCCGAGGCTCTTAAGGGGTGCAACGCGGGCCGCCCATTGGCGGCTATTTATAGCCCATTCATTCCATTGGCCCGCGCCGCGGGGTGGTGCCGCCGCTTTGTCCGCCGCCCGCAGCCCCCAACACCCCCCGGCCGCCCACCCGAGCCGTCCCTTCGCCGGGACCCCGCGCAGCCTGCCCAGCGCCGGCCCAAGACCTCGAAACCGAAACCTCAGGTCCTTAGCTATTTGTATCCCCTCGCGCGCCCTGCCTCCGACCGGGAAACTGAGGCCGGAGAATCTCCGGGCACTCGAGGACGCTCGGATTCGTCCGCATCCTCGCGCCTGCCCGCCTCGTCCAGCCAGCCCCCGCGGCGGCGGCGGCGGTGAGGGGCCAGGCGGAAGCGTTAAGGGCTTTTGCAGCAGGTACTGACCGCACCCCACGTTCGAGCTGGCCTGGAGCCGCTGACCTTCCTCAAGGTGCCCGCAGGCATTTCCTGGGCGATCTTGGTGCAAAGCGAAGGCACGCGGGAGGTGTAGTCTGGCTGCGGCCCAGCCCGGGGGCACCGCGGTGCCCTGACCTTGGACAAGTCCTGGGGCTCCGGGGGATGCGGGGCAGAAATCACTGGGACACTGTGGCCTTAAGAGACCGCCGGCAAGTGCAGCCTCGGAGTTTCCAGACACCAACCCCAGGCCCTCTTCGCAGGGGACAAGTTCTCCCGACCCCCAAAGGCGGTCTCCAGAGACTTCAGGCAAGGATGGAGGAAATGCTAATAAACAATAAGCATAGGTACGATTAAAAAAGAAAAAAAAAACTCGTCTCACAGATAACCAGAATCATGCAAATTAAACAGTGACTCCACCTGTCTCTACCCTCAACACTCCCAGATCGACCCCAGCCAGTGCTGGCTATGAGCTGGAATGCAGGGAGACAGGCGTCCACATGCTGCCTGCAACTTGAATTGCTGCATGCTTTTCGCAAGGTAATTTGGCAGAATCTATTAACATTAAAAAATGTTCAAACTCTGTGACCCAGCAATCCCACTTCTAGGAATGCAGCCCTTAGGAGGGATGTCTCAGTTCTCTCCACTAATGGACCAGGAGATGTGTGAAGGGAAAAACACACACCTCTGGATACCTGCCGATGCCCATCAGGCTGGACTGGCCCAGAGTGGGAAGGCATCTGCCTGCTGTGGAGTATTATGCAGCTGGTAAGAGGGGAGGTGGAGCATGTGGAGTTAATATCTATCCACGACCCTCATATGTTGCTCTGTGACTAAAGCCAGGAAGTGGGGAACCTTTATCTTTGGGTATATTTGACAAAAACTCCTCCAGCAATGGCACAGTGAGCACCTGCCCAGTGCCAGCTGCTGGGGATACAGCAGGCAGCAAGGTGCACAGTGCCTGCTGCTGGAGGAAGACTGGCCATGAGCCAGCAGCCCGGCAAACCAGATGACATTAGGAGATCAGTGCTGCTGGGGTTGGGGGGGACACAGGGCACAGCAGTTCCAGGCATAAGAGACCCTGAATAGGTGCCTCTGAAGAGAAGGCACCAGAGCCAAGGCGCAAAGGCAGGGGAAGCATCAGCGTGTGGCCCTGCCTCATCCCCATGGTCACTGCAGAGGACACACCTCTTCCCTGCTTGGCTGTGGGGCCCTACCCCATCCCTGTGGTCACTGAAGAGGAGACACATGCCTCTTCCCTGCTTGGCATGCTTTGTCTTGTTCCAAGCCGGCCTTTTTTAGACTAATCAAACAAACCCATGTAAAAAGGCAAATGGCCCCTCTGGGCTGGCCAGACAGCAGGTGTCCCTTAAGCCTGGAATTCCTGCTCTCTGTGCCCCCTGCAGCCTCTTTCCCCAATTTTAGACATTTCTGCAGCTGCCCACCCCCAACCCCACAAAGCCGGAAGGGCTTAAGTTTCTGTTTCTAGAAGGGATAGCTGCAGCCCCTGGAGGCTGACTTGGGGGAGGGAGGGACTTGAGGGGACACTCAGGATTTCCTCTGTCTTCAGCATCTGCAGCTTCTCAGGCCACCCCTCCCTTCTCTCACCCTCCTGGCGGAGAGCCTAACCTGCTTCCCCAGGTCCCCATGGGAAAGGACCCCCTTTCCCCTTCCCTCCACAGGCAAGGTCAGAACTAGAGCTGAGGTCTGGAGAGCAGGACTGCCCGTGGCAAGCAGTGAGCTGGGCAGTGGGGTGGGTCCGGCCTGGGGCTGCTGGCAACCCTCAGCCTTCTGAGGTGGGTGTTTTTGTCCCCAGTGTGCAGACAGAAGATCATTTTATTTTTGCTTTTATTCTGTTGAGACAGGGGTCGCGCTGTGTTGCCCAGCTGGACTCAGTGTGCAGACATATCAGAAGTTGGGTGACAGAAGTGTCCAGTTATAGGCCCAGCAACCCCTCCACCCTCGAAGAGTGCCAGCCCTGTGCCAGCTGCCTGGGGCCGACCGACGGGGCAGAGGCCAGGCAGCTGTGATGGGGCAGCAGCAGCAGGTGAGACCCAAGTATCAGGGTTGAGACCCCCCAGGCAGGAGCTGATTGGGAGCCTTAGAGGCCCGCAGAGCAGGGGCACAAGGGGAGGGTCTGGAAGGTGCCGGCCTTCCCCCAGCTCACCTGCCCCGTCTGCAGAACCCTGCCTTCCCGAGGGCCCAAGGAGCTGAAGGCTGGTGATGTTGCCAGGCCAGTGTTTGGCCCACGTTCCTCAGAAATCACACCTGGTTACACATGAACCACTGGGCCTAGAGGGGGCTTCAAAGGAGGCCCAGGCCTTTTATTCACAGAACATGACGCAGCTCGGGGGGCCATCCTTGGAGTCTGCTCCCAGGGCACAGCAGAGGCAGCATCGCCTCCTTCAGTGCCCTGCCCCTGAGTTCTGCAGAACCCGAAGAGGAAGTGGGCTGAGGTCAGGAGAGGGGCAGGGGCTGACAGGGTCACAGAGCATAGTAGGGCAGGAGACTGGGCTGGTCATAGAGGCAGGGACCGCAGTGACGTGGTCCCTGCCAGGGGCGTGGACAGAGCAGCCTCCCCCGTGAGCATCCTTCCTGCCTGTTCCCACCTTTCTTCAGATCCACCATTGGTTCTCTGAAGCCAGTTTACTGGCTTTAATTCTTAATGAATTAAGAGATGGGGTCTTGGGCCGGGTGCGGTGGCTCACGCCTATAATCCCAGCACTTTGGGAGGCCGAGGCGGGTGGATCACGAGGTCAAGAGATCGAGACCATCTTGGTCAACAAGGTGAAATCCTAATCCCACTTTGACCTCACTGGCTGTGACCTTCGGCAAGTTACTGAACCTCTCTGAGTTTCTGTTTCTCCATCTATAAACTATTCCCTCCCTCATAGGATCCAGGGGAGAATTCAGTGAGATGACCCAGCTGGGCATATACGGCATCAGCCCTTGTGGGGAGCCATAGTACAGACTGTGCAGGGGATCATCAGCTGAGGTAGGGGTGCTGGTTCTGCTTGAGGACTCAGGCTGGGGACTGGGGCAGCTCAGATGGAGCAGATGGGCTGGGCTGAGAAGGCTGCCTGGAGGAGGGGGCACTAGAGGAGTTGGCCAGCCAGTAATGGACAGAGAAGCAAGTGGGAAGTTGGAACCAAGGGAAACCACCGCCAAGTCACCAAATCGTAACTCAGGTCCATGCAGGCAGCCGACTTTACACCACAGCTGAGAGGCTGGGGAAGAGAAGCCCAAGAGAAACAAAGTCAGAATCCCCCAGGGAAGCAATTAGGGGGTAACTCAGGCAGGTGCATCATCTAGGGAGAGAAGCATCTGCTGGAACAGAGGTTGGGGAGCCATGGATGGGACTGGGTTGTCTCGACATTGAGAGCAGAAGGCAGGGAGGCCATGAAGCAGATGTAGAAGCATCTGGTGGCCAGCGTGGTGGCCCCACAGGGATAGGAGCCCATAGAGAGGGAGGCTATGGAAGGCCTCTCACCATCTTACTCCTGGGGGCTCTCAGCTCCTGGCCCAGCTAGGGCAGGGACAGAGGGGCTGAGGTTGGACCCCTGGGTTTCTATGATGGACCCTGAAAAGCCCATGGCAAGGGCCACAGATCCCCTGGCCTGGCCTGCCCCAGAGGCGAGAGTTGAGAGTGCCCACTGGCTGCCAAGGTCCTAGAGCAGAGCTGGCTCTGGAGGAGCATGGCTACCTCATTTTACCAGGCTGGAGTGGCAGAGTGCCTGGGGAGGGTGGCCTAAGGTCATTGCTAACTGGCTTGGGTTCTGGTGCAGGATAAACCCTAGGCTGGGTGGGGGGGGAGGGGGGTCTCTGTTACTCTCCAAGACCTGGCCCTGACAGCTAGGGGCTGGAGGAAGAAAACGCACATCCCCTGCCCCGCTCTCCTGCACAGGCACTCCACAGAGGAGCCAGCTGAGAAGAGCGCTGTGGAGACAGAACAGCACTCCCGCTTCTCTTTTTTGCCTGTCCTCCAGCAGCTCCTCCTCCGTCTCCTGCTCGGCTCCTCACCAGACCCAAGAGTGGGCCCAAGTCATCCAGCTCTCACTGAGCCTTGGTTCCCAGAAGGGGACGCAGGACCCCCTCTCCCTCCTAGAAGCAGCTCTGCACTCAGAACGTGCCCCCTTCGGTGGAGGCAGGGCCTGGGCGGAAGGCCACTTCTGCAGATTCTTCCAGGCCCCTATCTCTGCGCCTCTGGCTGACCCTAACCCAAGCCTTTTGGGATGGCCCTTTGACCTGCGATTTCTTTTCAGGAACTCATCTTGGGGCTCAGTCGGGTGTTCCCAGAGCAGTCTGCAATGAGAAAATGTCTGTGCAAAGTGTCCTCATAGAGGACCCCAGGGCCTGTCAAAGGGGTCCTGGACAGCAGTGACAGCCACGCCTTGGGTCCTGACCCCCTTCAAATGTGGCTGGGTATGACGGCCACCCGCGGCCGGCGGGGCAGGGCGCCCTTTTGTTTGTTTGTTACTATTTGTACAGATGGGGGGCGGGTCTCACTACGTTTCCCGGGCTGGTCTCGAACTCCTGACCTCAGGAGAACCTCCTGCTTCAGCCTCCCAAAGCGCGGGCTCACAGGCGACAGTCACCACGCTGGCCGCCCGCTTGCCTTCTGGATTTTGTCCCGTCTTCCGATCTTCCAGTAACCAGCAAGTGTAAACAGAGCAGCTCACATAAAGTCAGAAGTCGCCCAGGAAACGTCCTCTGGGAGGGACGGGAAGGGCAGCCTGGCACTCCCAGGATCCCGTGCGCGGAGGGGGCGGGGCGGGCGCGACGTCATCAGCGGGCGCGGAGCCTGAAGTGTTGTGGCCGCCGCCGCGTGTCGCGGAGGCATGTGTGGAGCCCCGGTGGAGGGAGAGTCGCGGGTGAGACTCTGCGGGGCCCAGGATGGCAGGGCGAGGGTAAGGGTGGTCCGGGCCGGCGCGGCACGCAGAACCTGTTTCTCTAGCCTCGCATGGGCGGCCCCCGCCGGCCCGGCCTGCCCCCTCGCTGCTTCTGCACCGGCTGGGCGGTGTTGGCGTTGACGGCCCTTTCTGGGGAGCCCTGACCCCTCTGGCGTACCCTGTCCCCCGCCCTCTCAGGAGCCTGTTGTGGGGGAGATTGGGGCGAGGAATCAAGCCTAGCTTGGAGGTGACCTCATTGACCATTTGCCTCTCCCCAGCCAGTGGACACCTCGCAAAGGCGGTTTCTCGTCTCACCTCGGGAATAGGAGTGAAGCTCCCGAAGAAGGGTGATGGGAGGGTCGGGTCCTCACTCTGGGAATTCTTGGGACCAACTTCCGCCATTGCCAAGCCCCAGTCTTTTCATTTATGATTTAGGCTCATAGTCCCTGTCTCTTGTCCTAGACCAAGAAAGGCTGCACAGGCCAGACCAGAGTGCAGCGCTGTTGGGCTCCCTGTCAGGCAGTGGCAGAGGCTGAACTAGCCACACCCCGCCCATGCCCGCTGCTGGGATCTCAGCCTTGAAGCCTTCTACCTAGACCCCAGGCCCTACTCCTGCCTCCTGACTTGCTCATGCCTACACACACCCCTCTCCAGGTCTTTGGCACTTGCTAGATATTAACACCATGAGCTTCGTGGCATACGAGGAGCTGATCAAGGAGGGTGACACAGCCATCCTGTCACTGGGCCATGGTGCAATGGTGGCAGTGCGTGTGCAGCGTGGGGCACAGACCCAGACCCGGCATGGTGTCCTGCGACACTCAGTTGACCTTATCGGCCGCCCCTTCGGCTCCAAGGTGACGTGTGGCCGAGGTGGCTGGGTGTACGTGCTGCACCCCACGCCTGAGCTCTGGACGCTGAACCTGCCGCACCGCACGCAGATCCTCTACTCCACGGACATCGCCCTCATCACCATGATGCTGGAGCTTCGGCCCGGCTCTGTGGTCTGTGAGTCTGGTGAGTTCCTCAGGCTGCCTCAGTTTAACTCAGAAATTGACACAAAGGTGGAGGTCAGAGCCTCCAGCCTGCCCTTCCTACAGACAGACGTGGCTCCTCAGCTACTGTTTTCTCATCTTTCTGGGATGCTGACAGCAGGGATTGAAGGTGGAGGCAGGGAAGCCCCTTCAGAGGCTGGTGCTGTCATTGGAGTGAGAGGTGGTGGGAAATAGACTAGAGGAGCTAGGGAGGACGTGGTGTTCTTGTGAGGGTCTTGCTTGCCTTGGTGGGGCCTAGCCAGCTCGATGCTGGGCGCTGTCCTGGGTGCTGACTGTCAATCTCTCGTCCTCTGTGCTGATGGTGAAGCAGAGAGAATTGCCCCTTCCGGAGAGAGGCCAGGGCTACCCCCGCGGAGCTGTTGCAGGTTGGGAGCCTTCCCCATCCTCATCCATGATCAGATCTTCACCTGCCACCAATGAATGTGAGCACCAATGAATCTGAGTCCAGGGCCTGGGCTGTGGGAACTCCCACACATATAGAGGTGTTGGGGCTGCCTGGTGTGACAACTGAACCAAGATTGGCCCCAGGCCCAGATGCATCTAGGTTGTTGGTGGCATTTTTCTCATGGGCAAGAGGGCTAGGGTCCAGGTCACGAAGAGTGCCTAGCACTGTCATGCTGGCTTTCTGAGGGCTGCAGTTACTGTGTCCCTCCCTGGGGTGTCTTGGTGGAGAGCAAGACTCAGAGCCAGCACCATCAGCTCCCTCTGCATCCTGTGGCAGGGTGCTGGCCTCTCCGCCCCTGCCCCACCCTCGAGAGAGAGCGCAGCCAAAGCAGCATGCTCCTCCTGTGGCCGCCTCAGATGTGTCAGGTCCCCTCCTAGGAACGGAGAACAAGATAGATCAGGTTCCTGCCCTCGAGGAGGGAGGGGGACGCAGCCTGGGTGTGTCTGCTGAGGTGAAGCTCGTGAGACAGGCCTGTGTGTCTGAGCAGGACCCAGAGTTGGATCTCTCCAGCCAGGCCAGGCAGGGAAGACCTCTCTGAGGAGGGGACATTTGAGTTGAACATGATGAGGAGGGACCCACGAAGAGCCAAGGGACAGCTCTGCACCAAGGAGGAGCTGTGCAGAAGCCCTGCAGTTGAAGTGTGCAGCCAAGACAGGCTCAGCGGGGGAGACGGAGGGGCTGGGAGTGAGGCTGGAGGGGAACCAGGCTGTACCCCGGGGGCCACCTCAACCTGGGAAGCAGTCAGACTCACCCCTGGGAAGGGGGCACGGCCAGCTCTGCGGAGGGGAGAGGCAGCAGGCTGGGAGCACCTAGGGGAGGGGCTGGACAGGTGGGGCGAGGGGCCAGCCCCTGGAGAGAATGTGGGAGGTGGCAGGAGGCGGGACGGCATAGAGGGAGTGGGCGGAGGCCCCTCCAAGGGTCTGGCCTAGCATTGCGATTCTCAGCACTGTTAGGGTTTGAGGGGTGGGTGGAAGGTGTGCAGCGGATGCTCTAGCAGGAGTCTCAGTGGAGGGGCTCCGGGATGGGAGTGCCATCAGGTAAATGGACCCTAAAGCTGGAGCGGGAGGAGGGACGCAGGGCCTGGCCTGGTGCCACAGGACAGGGAGTCAAGTAGGGGGACGATCTGGAGGGAAGCTGGGGGCAGGCGTGCTGGGGAGGACCAGGGCTGTGGGGCTGGTGGCCAGGCCCTGCATCCTGAGTCCAACCAGGCCAGAGCAGAGCCCCAGCCCCTGTGTGGTGGGGGCAGGTTTGGGCTGGCTTGGTGGGGGTGAGTTGACTCAAATGGGACCAAGGAGCTTCTGGGGAGAGGTGGTCACAAGGGCCGGCAGGGTGGGCCACTAGTGACGGGGATTGAGGGGATTGGCCACGCGTGGGAGGAGACAGGACTGAACCATGGGATGGGTCTCCATTCCCTCTACAGACTCCCTGGGAGGCTGCAGCCAGTGGGCTCTCTCCACTCCTGCACCTACGCCAGGCAGGATGGAGCAGGGCTGTCGCTGGCCTGGCCTGTGCCCACAGCAGACACCATGGCCTACACAGCCTGTCAACCCCAGCTCACCCCCTAGACAGTGTGCCCAACACAGGGCTGGCCAGGGCTCTAGGCAGCCAGGACCATACAGCCCACCTGTAGCCTGGGGTCCTCCTGAGCCCTGTGTGGGTCTCTAGGGTGAGGCGGGGTTGTTTCCTGGAAGTCTGTGGGCCCTGAGCAGTCCCACCTGATGCCTTGCCCATCCCATCTTGTCCCGACAGGCACGGGCAGTGGCTCTGTGTCCCACGCCATCATCCGCACTATTGCACCCACCGGCCACTTGCATACGGTGGAGTTCCACCAGCAGCGGGCAGAGAAGGCACGGGAGGAGTTCCAGGAGCACCGCGTGGGCCGCTGGGTGACCGTGCGCACACAGGACGTATGCCGCAGTGGCTTTGGCGTGAGCCACGTGGCTGATGCCGTCTTCCTGGACATCCCGTCACCCTGGGAGGCTGTGGGACATGCCTGGGATGCCCTCAAGGTGGAAGGTGTGTCAGGGGTTCCGGGAGAGGCACAGCCTGGGGCAGGGCATCAAGGGTGAGGGCTGAGCTCCTGGGAGCTCCTTGGTCTAGAAACCAACACACACCAAGGCAGTGGCCAGGCCAGGGCCCCTTTTTGGCCTGAGGTGAGGAGTGGCTCGGGCTGGCCAGGGCAGGCAGAGCTGGGGAGGATGGGCTCCAGCTGGGCCCTGCTCATGGTCTTTGGCCTCTCCCAACCCCCCCATGGGAGAAGGTAGCAGCGCCCCCTAAGTGCAGGGCAGGCCCGGCTGGAGGTGTCTGGAATCCCCTGCCCCTGCCGTTTCCCGACGACTCTCCTCCCCCAAGCTCTGGAGCCCAGGGAGCTGGCCCCTTATAGGGAAGATGCTGGGTGCGGAGGCGGGGCAGCCCTGGGGAAGGTCGGGCCCCAAGCCAAGGAGGCAACTGGGAGGCCCAGGTTTTTCCCTTTTCTGGAGAAGGAACGGCTCAGGCAGCAGGGCCCTCTTGCTTCCTCCCAGCTGAGATCTGCATTGTGAGAGGGTGGAGGGTGGAGGGTGGGGGCGGGGCGCCACACCCCACCTTAAACGAGCTGAGCCAAGGCCCATTGCAGACAGCAAGGCGGTGGCCAGGAGTCCCCTGCTGGCTCGGGCTCAGCCCTGACTCCTGGGTCCTGGTCTCTGCTAAGGAGCCTGAGGGTAGCTGTGGGGATCTCCACACCCTGCCTCCTCCCCTCCGCCTTTGCCCCTGCACCCTTGCAGGCTCCCGGGCTCTGGGGACACTTCTGAGCCTGGGTGCAGTCCTGGGGAGGCTGAACTCAGGAGAGCCCGCTCTGGGCCCCTTCCTGCCTGTGACTCCTTCCTCTGGAGTGGCCCTGGGAACCCGCACCTGCCTCTGGGACCCGTCCCTTTCCCTGCGACCTCCCTCGTCGGGGCCTTTTCTGAACTGCCCTTTCGGAGTCTAGAGGCTCCTGACTCATTCGGGGGGCAGGGAGGGTGCAGCACACAGCATCACATCAGCAGGACCTGGTGCCTCTCCAGGCTACTGTCAGGCAGAAGGAACCTCCTCTAACCCTGGACCTCCCAGCAGCCCCATGTCAGGGTACAGTTAAGGGGACCAGGCCTCAGGGACATTTGAGGACACTTGCTTGGGCCACGTACCTCTACCTGGCCCTGGCTTCCCCAGGTCCTCCCTGCCAGGTCAGGGCCCGGGGCTGCGCTCTCATTCACTCCCGGCCAGGCCGAGTGAAGCCTGTGGCTGCCCTGGTGGGAGGAGGGAGGAAGGGAGGGGCTGCCACACTCGGGCTCCGCTTCGAGTAGGCGCCTCCTGTTCTCCTGAGCAGCAACAGCCTCTAATTTCCTGTGACAGCAGCGGCCCCCGCCTGCTGGAGCCCCAGCCCCCGCCCCACCCCACACCGCACTGCGGTGTTGTCTTTGCTGCTCCAGGCCCAGCGTCCTGCGGCCTCATGGAAGGCAGGAGGGCAGTGCCCGTGCTGGGCCAAGTGAGACGGTGGCAGCACGGGCTTGACCCGGTGCCTGGAACATGGGAGGACCTGGCGCAGCCAAGCCAGGTGACGTGAACCATGGTGCCAGGCCCCTATGCCCTGCAGTCCCAACTCTCTGGAGGGCTGGTAGTCTGTGTTGGCTGTCTAAGGGTGTGAGTCCAGGGATGCCAGGGCCAGACGTCCTGCTCCACGACCCCCCGCCCTCTGACCCGGGGTCCTGCTTCCCACAGGCGGGCGCTTCTGCTCCTTCTCGCCGTGCATCGAGCAGGTGCAGCGCACGTGCCAGGCGCTGGCGGCGCGCGGCTTCTCAGAGCTGAGCACCCTGGAGGTGCTGCCGCAGGTCTACAACGTGCGCACTGTCAGCCTGCCACTGCCCGACCTGGGCTCGGGCACAGATGGCCCTGCCGGCCCCGACACCAGCCCCTTCCGCAGCGGCACACCCATGAAGGAGGCCGTGGGCCACACCGGCTACCTGACCTTCGCCACCAAGATCCCAGGCTAGGGGGCCGCCACCCCGGGCACCAGGGAGCTGGGAACACAGAAGGGCTGGGCAGGGAGGCCAGAGGCACCTTACATGGTCGGCGACACCTGCTAGACACAGATGGTGGGGCGGGGTTTGAGGGCCTCCTGGGTGGCCAGAGTTTGGGGGCCGGAGGGGCGGCTGTGATGGAGGAGCAGAGCTGGGGCTGGGCCTCAGCCTTTCTTGTCTAGGCCCGCGGCCTGTCCCAGCTGCTGTTTGTTGCCAGCATGAAGTCTCCACTGCCACAGGCTCTCCTGGGTATTGAGGCCAGTGAGTGAGTGGGGGGAGTCAGACCCTCTCTCCAGGTGGGCCTAAGCAGGAAGGGGGTGGAGGAGGAGCATTGTCCCTGAGGCCATGCTGCATCTGACTCCAGGCCCCCACAGCCCAGGCTGCCCCACAGGGTCTGAGACCACCTTGTGCTCTGCCAGTCCCTGGGCCAAGGCTCCAGTCTTGGCCAGCAGCCAGGGTGAGCTGACCCAGGATCCCTACCTAGCTCTCCCCAGCACTAGGAGACCAGGCCAGCCCAGGAACCAGGGAGGTGACCCTGCTCTCTGACTTCCAGGCTGATGTCACAGCACTGGGCTCAGCCCAGGCCTCCGTCCACTCATGTCCAAGAGGCAGGGGCAGCCCCCATCCAGCCAGAGTCCCTTGACACAGGCTGCGCTCGGTGAGGTCAGGCGGCGCTGCGGAGAGGAGCAGCACAGTGGGTTGTTTGCCGAGGGTGACCAGGCAAGTCCATGTCAGGGCCGGGGTGTGAGTGTCAGCCTGTGAACTCTGCAGGCACTCCTGCCCCTCACAGAAGCCAGGGGCGTGGAGGAGGTCCCCCCACAGGGATCATGGTATGGGTGGGGGAGGTGCATACAGGACACCTCTCGGGGACAGTGCCTATGTGATTACCTCTTAAAGCCTGAGGGGGCGTTTCCCAAAGCAGGACAGAGGGTGGGACACCCGGGCTGGGGGCTCTCTTCGCCTGCCCTGGTGTGTGATGGCCTCAAGGGAGGACCAGTGCATGTATCAGCCATGGTACCCTGGAGCTGCCTCTAGTGTGCGGGGGGGCCTGGGTTTCTGCCCAGGAACCAGTCACCTTTGGGAGCCTCGGTTTCCCCGGTGTTGGCCTCAAGTGCTGTGCTAGCAGGGGCTTGGCCCCGAGTGTGAGTGATGAGCAATAAATGTGCCGCCCGCCCCCCTGTGCTGAGTGATCCCTGGCGGCCAGGGCCACCCCAGCTGCTCCCCAGGCCAGCCCTGCCTGTGCTCTGCCCTGGCCCCTGCTCCTCCCTGTCCTGGTTTGGCATGTTGGGTGCTCCAGACTCCAGGACAAAGGGGCAAATGTGTGGCCACCCCCATCTGACTGCAGAAAAGGCCACTTGTCCCTGGGGATGGGGTGGTCCAGGAGTGCTGGGCCTTCCTCCACAGCCTCAGGCTGAGATTGAGTGTGGCTGCCTGGGTTTCCTGCATGCTCCCCTGAAGAGCCTATCCCAGGCCACCTGTCCCTGGGGATGGGGTGGTCCAGGAGTGCTGGGCCTTCCTCCACAGCCTCAGGCTGAGATTGAGTGTGGCTGCCTGGGTTTCCTGCATGCTCCCCTGAAGAGCCTATCCCAGGCCACCTGTCCCTGTGAAGTGTCACACTGTAGGGCACGTGGGCTGTGGCTGATGTGGTCTGGGAGGTCTGTGTCCCTGAGAGTGGCTCAGTCCTGCTCTGGGGACTTGTCCCCTCCTTCCAGGACCCAGCCTCCCTCTACCTCATTCCTCACCTGGGTCGAAAAGGAGGGGCCCCCTGCAGGTTCAACATGGAAGTGGTGACCCTAATGCTAGGAGCTTTGGGGTCAGGGCTGTGCCTGGGGTGTCATGAACTGGGTGATGCACACCCCTGATATCCTAATTCCAAGCCTGCCCTGCCCTTCCTGGCTGCAGCAAAGGCCTGCGTGGGGTCTGATGGGTGAACGCCAGGAAGCTTTTCTTTGAGGCACGGCTCTGAAGGTCACAGGACATGCAGGCCTCAGGCATAGTAGGGTCCAGGTTGTGCCTATTTTCCAGCCCCGGCTGGTAACCCAGGTGGCAGCCCTGGGTGAGTCACTAGGATCTGCACATGGAGAGCGGGAGAGCACAGCCCACCCCACCCTCAGTTGTCACATGGGACAGAGTTGATTATCTCAATCCAGACTCCTTTCAGCCCCTCTGCCCTGCTGCTCTGCCCTGCACACAGACCCCGTGATGACCCTGGGCCTCCAGGCATCCACCCCACCGTATAGCCCTCTAGAGCCAGCTGAGCCTCAGCCTGGAACCTCACCTGGCCTTGAGCCAGCATCGAACTCCTCTATGTCCTTCAAGGCCCTACTCAAATGTCCCTTTCTCAGCATGCTTCCCCAGACCATCTCATGCCCAGGAGGGAGAGTCCCACACACCCACGGCGTGAGGGAGCCCCCACAGCAGAACAGCAGAAGGCAAGCAGCGCCCCAGTTCTGTGATGGGGAACCTGACTTTCAGAGGCAGGGCCAGGGCCCATGGCCATGAGTCAAGCTGACCGATCAGCAGGCCCCCGATGGTCAGGCTGAGTCAGCAGCAAGGGCTCATCACGGGGCAAGGATTCACCGGCAACGCCCTGCCTGGCCCAGTGTGTACTCGCCTGGGGCCCTCAGATTTTCCCTGGAAATTCCCCTGGCCCTGCTGCCCTGCACTAAGACAGTGGCACACCTGACTCCAGGCCACGCAGGCCCTGGCCCAGCCTCACTCACTGGCTTGGAGGGCCCCAGCCCAGGTCCTGCCCTAGAGCCAGGATTAGAGTCCCTCCCTCGGGAGCCCCCCAGGCTTTGTCTCGCCTGGGACCCCTGGGTGAGCTGCTCCTGGGGCCTCTCACTGTGCCCCAGCCTCTCCTGCCTCAGACTAGCCTCTCTCTCACCCAAGAGCCCGGGAGGGCTGGGGCCAAGGCAGGCTACACAGGTGGGGACCAGGGCAGGGTTTCTGGGTGGGTGGAGGGCAGCGGGCCGCTGGGGGCACACCTTATCTAGCAGAATGTGAGGAGGCGGGGCTGCCCCGAGGGCCTGGGAGGCCCTCACCCCTGCAGTCTAGGTCTGGGGCTTGCCCCTCTGTGCCTCCATTGAGGCTTTGCTCTCTCCGCCCACCTCCTCAGGCCCAGAAGCTGAAGGGCAGGTGGGCTGCCAGGGGACCCTAGCCTCTTCAACAGTCCATTGCACAGATAGGGAAACTGAGGCACAGAGCTGCGACTCCGGAATCCTGGCCATAAATGGTTCCCTATGCATGACCCTAGAGGGTAGAGGGTTTCAGGTGGAGTCCTGGAAGGCTCCTCAGAAGAGGAGATGCCTGTGCCGATGGATGGGCAAACCTTGCAGGTGGGGTGGGCCGTGCTCCAGAAGCAGTGGATGGAGAGGGTGGAGTTCCAGCTCTGGGCTGGCAAGTGCCATTTCCAAACCTGCTCTAAGCAGAGTGAGCACTGGGCTCCATGCCCCACGGCCCCAGGACTATTGGGGTCACATGCCAGCCTGGAGGGGCCTTGAGGAAGAGGGTCCCCAGAGAGAGGCTTGGCTCCGATGTCCCCAGGAGGGAGCAGGCAACTGGGGCTGACTGCCGGGCCTTGTGTCCTGTCCTCACTAGCCATGGGAGGGTGGGCACTGTCACTAGTAGGCATGGGCTAAGTGCCTCCCACGTGCTAGCCCCCAACTGTTCAGGGTGCCCAGGCCTGCCCTTTGGGGCTCCCAGGAGCCACCCGGATCTGGGCACACAGTGCAGGGCAAGAGGTGGCTTCGGGGACGGCAGTAGCCTGGGCCCTGTGTGATGGGTCTGGGCTGGTGGGGGAGTGGGCGGGGCTTTCTGTCCTGGGGCTATGTGCATCACCCACTTCTGGACACGAACTGAGCCTCACGTCGCTTCCCACGATGGCTAGCAGGTCGGCGGCAGACAGGCTGGGAGCCAGGGTGTGGACCCCAGAGCCAGTGGGCCAATCCCTGCCTGAGGTGGGTCTCAGTGAGCAAGGAGGGGCACAGTGGGGCCAGCCTGCTGCCCTGCCCCAGCAGTGGCCTTGCCAGCCCACAGGCCCGCCCCACGAGGAGCCTCTGTGCCCAGGGGAGCCTTCGTGGCCCAGCCCGGCAGCCAGGACGAGGGCGTTTCAAAGTCAGGCCGCCTCCAAAGCAGTGGCATTGGCGGGAGGGAATAACTGGCTCCCACCAGGCTGAGAATAGCTCAGAATTGGGTCACGCTCACCGAGATCTCCGGTCACAGCCTCCAGCCTTTGACAATAATCAGCTTTCTCCCGACATCTGTCCCTTCAAAGAGGGGGCAGGCCGGTACAGGCACTTCTAGAAGCAGCATAGTGGAGGGGACGGGAGTAGGGAGGGACACCCTGGCGTCCTGGCTTTCCATGGCAGGCCCCCTCCCTCCCTCCTGCCCACCTCAGTGGGCAAAGCACGGCGGTGCCCCCTCACAGATAAGGACACCGACTGGGTACTGGGGGGAGGGTGGTGCCTGTGCCTGGCCCTCCCATGCTCGGCCAGCCATGCCCCTCAGTTCCCGAGAGTCGGCGGCCTGCATGCCACTGCCCCAAGCCGCCCTCTTGCCCCTGCCGGTCTGTCCTGCTCTTCTAACGTGGTGGAACGGCGTGGGTCAGAGCAGACCATCCTGCCCTGCCAGACTTTTCGGGTCGTTTCCCCCAGCCCAGGACTTCACCCCATGTCTTGTTTCCTATCCATGTCCCTGCGTCTGGCCCTCCTCAACCCAGAGCAGCCTTCAGAGGGCTAAGGTGGGTGGTATCACGGCCCTCAGTGCCCACATCTGTGCTGCCACCAGCTGGGTGCCGAAACCATTGTAATATATAGTAGGTGTCTCCTGCGCAGGGAGACCGATGTGCCTACCACAGGCCAGGCGCACTGGTTTTCGTTCTTTAATCTTCAAAAACCCACAAGGCAGTTCACGTGTTCTAGGTGACACCATTGCTAAACTTCAGCCACAGGTCTGTTCATGAAATGCTTGTGACGCTGAGCTTCTCAAGATGGGGCCCCTGGATAGGCTGTTCAGCGTTGTCCCCGCCCCACCCCTGCTGAGCTGGAACTCCAGGCACGGCCCAGGGGGCCCTGTTCCCCAGGCCTCCAGGTGGCTGTGGTACTCAATTTTGAGAATCGCTGCTGGAAGACCCGGGAGTCTCACACACATTTCTTTTTATTTCTTAAACAAAAACCCCTTTATTAACTTAAGCGACAGCTCTCTGGCAGCTTCCTGCACGCGGCTGGTTGATCCTCTGAGGCTGCGCTGTCAGCTGCAGCTCAGTTTCATCCAGTGTGGCTGGACTGTCGGCTTCCAAGCCCCAGACCCTGTCGCTCCCTTCAGCTCCACTGCGAATGCCCTGGGGCTCCCAGAGAGAGAAACTGAGGCAGCAACAGCAGGTCGCTGTGCGCAGACCCCACTGGGTCCCAATTTCAATAAACGAAATGTCTTTTTCAAAACAGGACAGTTGGCCGGTAGCAGTGGCTGACACCTGTAATCCCAGCGTTTTGGGAGGCCGAGGCGGGCAGATCATGAGGTCAGGAGATTGAGACCATCCTGGCTAACACCGTGAAACCCTGTAAATACAAAAAACTAGCTGGGGGTGGTGGCACATGCCTGTAATCCCAGCTACTCAGGAGGCTGAGGCAGGAGAATTGCTTGAACCCAGAAGGCGGAGGTTGCAGTGAGCCAAGATCTGTTTCGCCACTGCACTCCAGCCTGGGCGTCAGAGTGAGACTCTGTCTCAACAACAACCAAACAAATAAAGAAATAAGTAAAGTAGGACATTTGGGAAATTGGAAGCTTGAGTGGCTGTTTCATGAGTTTAAGGAGTGGCCACGTTTGCAACAGGCTGACAGTGCTGGGGAATGGCAGGGTGGCTGAGATCCAACTCTGAATAATGGGGTTGGGGAGGAAGGGGAGCAGACTTCAAGCCAGGCTGGCCACAGACTCCTGGGAGCGGCCTACAGGATTCTTCACACAATTCTGCTGGTGCTTTTCTTTGACAATTTCCATAATAAGTTTTTATTTAAAAAAAAAAAAAGGCTGGGCGTGGTGGCTTATGCCTGTAATCCCAGCACTATGGGACGATCACTTGAGCCCAGCCTGGGCAACACAGGGAGACCCTGTCTCTACAAATAATTAAAAAAGAGGAAAGATGCCCCAGACCAGTGGCTGGCACTGGTAGCTGGCAGGA